GGAAACATCGGCTTACATCGTTTGCAAAATAAGCACCTTTCGATTTTCATTGGTTCGTTAGATATGAGTTTGGAACATTGTACTAGCCGAAAAACGGCTGTTTTCAATCTGAACACGCATCCAATTTGTATGCGTGCTGGATTTCATGTTGGTCCTTATGTGGGTCCGAAAACGTCCGATTCCAAAATGGGTCGTTTTTGCATCATGGTGGCATTGACCAGATTTACGATCACTTGCATGTTGACAACAACGCCACTCAATGCTTGTTCCACCAATGTGTATCGTCTGCACCGGCAATCTGCTTTCAAACGGAGCGGATCTCAGAAACAAAACCATGGGAACTTGCGGCCATCAAGAATGTTATATGTATCCAGGAACACACGAATGTTATACTATATATCATTCGACGCGCACGCGCACGGCGATCACTATGGTAAACTTAAAACATTAACGCACATAGAGTTTTGAAGTTATTTCCAATAAAACCTCGTAAACGGCGCTCGATGTTGATTATGCAAATGCTGCACAAGCGGCTTGCCGGCACAAAAACAGTTGCCGCGGCATTAACACAATAGTTGGACCACGCCATATCATACAGAAATCAATAAAATGGGGTTTGAAATTTTTTATTTTCTTTCGACAAAGGAGCCTTCCAAAATTTTCGGTCGGCACCCGGTGAGCAAAAATGTTGTCAACAAGTGGTAGCATCGGCTTCCATCGTCTCCAAGTTAAGGCACCCTTCGATTTTCATTGGTTCGTTAGATATGAGTTTAGAACATTTTACTAGCCGAAAAACGGCTGTTTTCAATCTGAACATGCATCCAATTTGTACGCGTGCTGGATGGCATATTAGCCCTCATACGGGTTGAAAAAACCTCCAGTTCTGAAATGGGCCGTTTTTGCATCAAAGTGGCCGCGACCAGACATGCGATCAATTGCATGTTGACAACAACGCCACTCAATGCTTGTTTCACCACTGTGTATCATCTGCACCGGCAATCTGCTTTCAAACGGAGCGGCTCTCAGAAACAAAACCAGGGAAATTTGAAGCCATCAAGAATGCTAGATGTTTCCAACAACCCACTAATAATTTACTATGCATCTTTCGACACGCAATCGCACGGCGATAACGATGGTGTAGCTTGCAACATTAACGCACGTATAGTTTTGAATGTATTTCCTTAAAACTCTCCGTAACGGCGCTCGATGTTGATTTTGTGATTACTGCACAAGCAGTTTGCCTGCACAGAAATTCTTGCCGCTGCACTTACATACTAATTGGACCATGCCCTTTTATTCATATATAGAAGAAATCGCATTTGGAAAATCTTCAATTATTTCAACAGAATGGCCTCCCCAATATTTCCAGTCTGCACAGGTGAGCAAAAGTGTTGTCAACAAGTGGAAGAATCGGCTTACATCGCTTGTAAGTTAAAGCTGTCTTCGAATTTTATTGGTTCATTAGATATGAGTTTGTAACATTTTACGGGCCGAAAAACGGCTGTTTTCAATCTGAACATGCATCCAATTTGTACGCGTGGTGAATTTCATATTGGCCCTCAAATGGGTGCAAAAACCGTCCGTTTCTGAAATGGGCCATTTTTGGCATCAAAGTGGACGAGGCCAGATTTGCGATCACTTTCATGTTGACTACAACGCCACTGAATGCTTTCTCCACCACTGTGTGTCGTCTACACCGCCAGTCGGCTTTCCAACGGAGCGACTCTCAGAAAGAAAACCATGGAAGTATGCGGCCATCAAGAATGCTATATGTTTCCAGCAACGCACTAATGTTTTGCTATATATCATTCGACGCGCAATCGCACGGCGAACACGATGGTATAACTTAAAACATTAACGCACGTATAGTTTGCAAGTTATTTGCAAAAAACTCTCGCAAAAGGCGCTCGATGCTGATTTTTCAATTGCTGCACAAGCTGTTCGCCCGCACAGAAGTACTTCCTGCTGCACTTACACACTAATTGGACCATGCCCTTTCATTCAGATATCAAAATATTGCGTTTGGAAAGTTTTCATTTATTTCGCAAAATGGCTTCCCCGAAATTTTCGTTCCGCACCCGGTGAGCAAAAATGTTGTCAACAAGTGGTAACATCGGCTTACATCGTTTGCAAGTTAAAGCACCGTTCGATTTTTATTGGTTCGTTAGACATGAGTTTGGAACATTTTACTAGCCGAAAAACGGCTGTTTTCAATCTGAACATGCATCCAATTTGTACGCTTGCTTCATGTCATATTGGCCCTCAGTTGGGTCGAAAAAACGTCCGTTTCTGAAATGGGTCGTTTTTGCGCATCAAAGTGGCCGTGGCCAGACTTGCGATCACTTGCATTTTGACAGCAACGGCACTGAATGCTTGTTCCACCACTATGCGTCGTCTGCACCGGCAATCTGCTTTCAAACGGAGCGACTCTCAGACACAAAACCAGGGAATTTGCGGTTATGAAAAATGGCTATATGTTTACAGCAACACACGAATGTTTCACTATATATCATGCTTCGCGCAATCGTACGGCGAACACGATGGCATAACTTATTCCATAACCGCACGTATAGTTTTGAAGTTAGTTTCAAAAAAACTCTCTCAAACGGCGCTCTATGGTGATTTTGCAATTGCTGCACAAGTGGTTTTCCTGCACAAAACCCTTGTCGCTGCACTTACACACTAATTGGTTCATGCCCTTTCATGCAGAAATGAAAAAATCGCGTTTGGAAAATTTTCATGTTTTCGACAAAATGGCCCCCCATAATTTTTCGGTCGGCCCCCGGTGAGTAAAAATGTTGTCAACAAGTGGTAGCATCGGCTTACATCGTTTGCAAGTTGAAGCACCTTTTGATTTTCATTGGTTCGTTAGATATGAGTTTGGAACATTTTACTAGCCGAAAAACGGCTGTTTTCAATCTGAACATGCATCGGACTTGTACGGGTGCTGGCTTTCATGCTGACCCCCATATGGATCGAAAACACGTCCCTTTGCTGAAATTACCCGTTTTTTTCATCAATGCGGCCGCGGCCAGATTTGTGACCACTTGCATCTTGACAACAACGCCACTGAATGCTTGTTCCACCACTGTGGATCGTCTGCACCGGCAATCTGCTTTCAAACGGAGGGGCTCTCAGAAACAAAACCATGGAAATTTGCCGCCATCAAGAACGAAATATGTTTCCAGGAACGCACTAATGTTGCATGGCGTTCGCCGTGCGATGGTGCCTCGAATGACTTGCATTACAACTTTAGTGCGTTGCTGGAAACATAGCGTTCTTGATGGCCGCAAGTTTCAATGCTTTTGTTTCTGAGAGCCGTTCCGTTGGAAACCAGAATACCGGTGCAGACAACACACAGTGGTGGAACAAGCATTCAGTGGCGTTGATGTCATCATGGAAGTGATCACAAATCCGGCCGCAGGCACTTTGATGCGAAAAACGTCCTTTTCATAAACGGACGTTTTTCCACCCATATGAGGGCCAATTTGAAATCCAGGGGGCGTGCAAATCCGATGCATGTTAAGATTAAATGGAGCTGTTTTTCAGGTAACAAAATAGTCCAAATTGATATCTAGCGATCCAATGAAAATAGAATTTTGCTTTGACTTGCTAACGATGCATACTGATGTTATCACTTGTTGACGAGATTTTTGATCACCGGATGCTGACGGAATTTTTTTTGGGGGGGGCTATTTTGTGGAAGAATTGAATTTTTTCCAAATGCAATTTTTTCATTTTTAGTTGAAAGTGCATGGTCCATTTAGTGTGTAAGTGCATTGGCAAGTGTTTCTGTGGACGCAAACGGTTTGTGTAGCGATTGCAAAATCAACATCGCGAGCCGTTTGAGTGTTTTTTGGAAATAACTTTCAAACTATGCGTGTGTTAATGTTTTAAGTTAGACCATTGTGTTGGCTGTGCGATTGCGCGTCGAATGACATATAGGAAAACATTAGTGCGTTGGTGGAAACATATAGCGCTCTTGATGGCCGGAAATGTCCATGGTTTTTTTTCTGAGAGCCGCTCGGTTTGGAAGCAGATTGCCCGTGCAGACGATACACAGTGGTGGAACATGCATTCAGTGGCGTTGTTGTCGACATGCAAGTTATCACAAGTCCGGCCGGGGCCACTTTGATGCGAAAAACGCCCCATTTTTGAAATGGACGTTTTTTCGACATATGTTAGTGCTAATGTGAAATCCAGCACGGTGCCAGCATGACTGCTAGATGGCTTTCGATTCGGGCGCCGAGAGGAACGTTTGGGCGTCCTGCGCCTATGGTGTTGGCGCGTCCCCGGGTGTCGGGGAGCTGTGTTGCCGACTTGTTACAAGTTGAGGTCGGCGTCGCGCCGCGTCATTCGGTAGAGCGCGGCCGCGCTTCGGAAGCGAAGACGCCCATGGAGCGTGGCAATGCCGCCAGGCCGGCAATGCCGCACGGCATCTGGCTACGGTTCCCGTGAAGGGAACACAGCCGACCATTGGGCGGCCCGCAGGCGATGTGTGAATGCCACGTTGCGGACATGACATCTAGCCGTGGTGCGCGCAAAGATGCTATGGACAGCCGGCGGCCTTGGTCATTGCCAGTCGTTTTGTCTGTGTGGCGTTGGCTTGTACAACCATAGGATGCGTTGGCGTTGCATGTTGCCAGCCTGACGGCACGCGCTGTTTGTGATATGGTATCGGCCGGCTTTGAGCTGATGTCAAGCATGGGTTTTCGCTGGCCTCCACTGTGCTGTTGCTGCTTTTTGTGTTGGTTTGTGTTTTGTGTGGGTTCTGTCTTGGTGTGTTTCTTCATTGTTTGCTATGTAGTCGTTGATTTTGTTGTTGGCTCACGCCATGCTCTGTTCGTGCTTGGTTTTGCATAGGCCGACACATCTGAGGCGATGTGTCTTGGATGTGTGCCAGCAGCGGCGCGCATGCAGCATAATTGCTAAGCCATATTGAAACACATACTGATTATACATGTAGTAGAGCATATTGATTTATTGGCACCGCTGACAGCAAAAAATAGGCCGATCCTGGCTGTAGTGCTATGCTAGGCCAACCCGCGGCAGGGCAGGAGCAAGGTCCAGTAGTCCCGCCAGTGTTCAGAAATCAGTTTTATATTCTGGTCCCCATGTAGGGGACGTATCAGATATTAAGCTGATAAGAAGATATTTTTTGTTCAGAAAAGTACATGTTTGATAACAAGAGAAGCAAAAAGAAACTCGGATGCCGCTCCACGATGTGGAGGGCATTTACCCGCGACACGGTTGTTTGATAAAGTTCAATTAATAGCATTATAAGAATGGCATGAACAAAGTGAACAAGCGCCAGGTCGCGCACCGAACAGGGCGTTCTGGTGGCGCCACCTTACGTTACTACATTAGGCAAGCCGCGGTGGCGCCACCAGCTGCGGCGCAGATGGCGCCGGCGCAACAACTCCCCGGCGCGATCCGATGCCGAATCATCTCAGTGTATGATGTCACTGGTCATAAGTTTGTGCGGATTCTCTTGGGCCGCCCAATGCCAAAAAACATCATATCCCATGAAGCATCACGGGATGATACGACGTCACTGGTATTCGACTTTACATCAAGCGCAGCAGACCATGTTCCATCTTTACGTTTCGTACCCGTCTATTACAACTATTAGCGTGCTGAATGAGGACTCTGTCGAGTCTCCTGCATGTGTAACGTCACTGGCCAAGAGTTTTTACGGGCTCATTTCAACCTCCTATACGGCATAATGCATCAGCTGACGATATGACGTCACTGGTGTCCGACTTAACATCAGGCGCGACAGGCCATGTTCTACCTTTACCTTTCGTACCTGTCTATTACAAGTATTGACGTGCTGACTGAAGGCTCTGTCGAGTCTCGTGTGTGCGGGTGAATACTCAGGTGAATCGGCAAGACCTTCATATAGCACGCGAATGCTTGCAGTGGCCGGGTGCGAAAAGTAAAGATGGAACATGGCCTGTTGCGCATGAGGTCAAGTCAAATATCAGTGACGTCACGTCGTCAGCTGATGTCTTTTACCCCAAGGGAGGTTCAAAACACCCCGTAAAAACTCATGACCAATGAAGTTACACCCCCAAGAGACAAGAGACTGCTTACAATAGACGGGTACGAAAGGTAAAGACGAACATGGCCTGCTGCGCCTGGTGTTTAGTTGAACACCAGTGACGTCACATCGTCAGATGATGCTTGATGCCCTTCAATCAGCCCGAGTAAACCCGAGTAAACTCATGACCAGTTGCATCACACGCTCAGGTGATTGGGCAGAGCCTTTATGTGACGCGCGAATACTTGCAGTAGATAGGTGCGAAAAGAAAAGATGAAACATGACTGATTGCACCTGATGCTTAATTGAATACTAGTGACGTCATATCGCTCTCTAGCGCCTTTTGGCCTTAGGTCGGCCCAAAAAGGCCCGTAAAAACTCATGACCAGTGACGTCACACATTCGGTGAATTACCAGTGACGACATACCGTTAGCTGATGCCTTTTGGCTTCCACTCAGCCAAAAAAAGCCTGTAAAAACTCATGAGCACACACTCTGGTGATTCGGCAGAGCCATCATTCAGTTCACCAATTTTTTAACACGCGCGAAAGGCAACGATGGACATGACCTATTACGTCTAATGTTAAGTCGAACACCAGTGACGTCATATCGTCAGCTGATGCATTACACCATATAGCGGGTTGAAAAAGCCCATAACAACTCTTAACCAGTGGCGTTACACACTCAGGAGATTCGACAGTCTTTACTCAGCACGCCAATGCTTGTAAAAGACAGGTACGAAAGGTAAAGATATTACATGGAACATTGCGCTTGATGTTGGGCGGAATACCAGTGACGTCATGTCATCCCGCGACACTTCACGGGACATGATGTTTTGTCACATTGGTGGGCCCAAGTGCACCTGTATAAACTCATGACCGGTGGCGTCACATACTTAGATGGTTCAGCATCGCCTTGACATAGCACGCGAATGCTTGCAGTAGACAGGTAAGAAAGGTAAAGATAGAACATGGCCTGTTACGCATAATGTCTAGTCGAAAACCAGTGACGTCATATGGTCAGCTGATGTGGTATGGCCTATAGTGGGTTCAAAACAGTCTATAAAAATTCATGGTCAGTGACTTTCCACGTTGAGGTAATTCGGTAGAGCCTTCCTTCACCATGCCAATCCTTGCAATGGACAGGTACCAAACGTAAAGGGGGAGCATGGCCTGTCCCGCCTGAAGTTTATTCGAACACCAGTGACGTCACATCGTCAGTTAATGCCCTATGACCTTACGTCGGCCAAAAAGAGGCGGTCCAATCGCATGACAAGTGACATCACATACAGTCGAATGCCAGTGACGTCACATCGCTAGCTTATGCTTTGTGGCCTTTAGTTGGCCCCCCAAAATCAATAAAAACTCATGACCAGTGACGTCACACATACATAGGTCATTCGGCAGAGCCTCCCTTCAGCACGCCAATACTTGCAGCAGACAGGTACGAAAGGTATAGATGAAGCATGGCCTCCTGCCTGACGTTCAGCCAAATATCCGAGACGTCATATCGTCAGCTGATGCCTTACGTCATTCGGCCGGTTCAAAAGAGCCCGTGAAAACCCACAACCATTGACGTCACACAACCAGTCGCATAGCAGTGACGTCGATGGCTGATACCATGTGGTTTTCAATGGGCCCAAAAACACCGGTGAAACTCATGACCACTGACGTCACACACTCAGGCGATTTGGTAGCTTTCATTCAGCACCCCAATGCTTGCAGTAGACAGGTACGAAGGAAAAAATGAAGCACGGCCTGCTGCGACCAAAATTTAGTCGAATATCAGTGACGTCACGTTATCCGATGATACTTCACGGAACATGATACACCGTGGCCGTGGGGCCTAAGTGCACTCACATCAAGTGATAATAAGTGACACCACACATTCAGGTGATTCGGTCGAACCGTTATTCGGCACAAAAATGCTTGCAGCAGACAGGTGCGAAAGGTAAAGATAGAATGAGGCCTATTGCGCCTGATGTTTAATCGAGTGCCATTGGCGACACATCGTCAGGTGATGCCTTACGGCATTCATTTGTCCCGAAAGAGCCCGAAAACCTCACGACCAGTGACGTCACATACCCAGTCAAAAACCAGTGACATCATATCGCCAGCAAATGCCTCATGGCCCTCAGTCGGCCCAAAAGAACCCCGATCGATGCAAAACCATTTTCAGTGACATCCCAATGTCAGCTGCCGCCTCACAGCATTTCCCAGTATGGCAGTAATCCAACCCTGCAGCCAGCGTAGCTCTTCCCTCCGCCGGCCGTACAGGTACCAAAGCAAAAGATAGTTTTTTTTCTGCTAGCGGCGCGTGTGCACGTCCTGTACTGATTATTATTTGATCTGTGCAATAGTGTAATCATATGGAATCAACACGAGATGCTTCCCGTGACCCCGGACTGTGTAGCACACAGGCGTGTACCCCCCCCCCCCCCCCCCCCCCCCCGTTCCCTGGGCTGGCCGGCCGGCTGTGGGTTTGCCACTTCACTGCAATGTCCGTAGGTGTTGGGCAACTGCGGCCTTCTCGTGTGGTTGCGGTTTCGCCACCGGCGTTCCTCGTCTGGCGTCACGCCTTGAGACGACACAGTCTTGTGTCGTCGCCGCGGACGTGCCGTCTGGCTGGCCGTCTGGTCTGGCCGTCTGGCTGGTCCAATAGTCGGCAGTGTTCCCTGCACGGGCACCGCAGCCGGACGCCGTGCGGCCTTGCCGGCCTGGCGCCATTCCTCAGCTGCATGGGCGTCTTCGCTTGCGATGCGCGGCCGCGCTCTACCACGTGACGCGGAGCGACGCCTCACTCAACTTGCAACAAGTCGGCAACACAATTCCCCAGCTGCAGGGAACGCGCCACCATGGCATACGCAGGACGACCAACCTGGCTCTCGGCGCCCGGTGCGACAGCGATATAGCGGCCATGCTGGTACTAGCAGCGGCTGGGCGATTTTCGACCGTAGCGTCGCGTGTCCCGGCGTGAGTTGCACGCCCAGAGACGCGGTGCGAGAATGTGTTCTGCCTCTCGCCAACACTGAGCACCTATTGATAGTGATGGTGTGCTGTCACGTGACCGATGTCTGGTCACGTCATCCGTGATTGCCAGTCGGGTGACGTGACGAACAACGCACTAGCGTCGTCGGCGCCGCCGACCGCTCCATGGGCGCAAATCGTCGGCGACCTCCGGTCACGCGCAAGTGTGCCGACAAATGCACCTGTTGCAGTTGCATCTGCATCGCTTTTCGGCCTTTTGGCTCGGATCAAAGTGTAGTACTGCCGCCCCTCCACTTGTCCTAGTCTTTAATTTGATCTGTGTATTTGTGTAATCACCGCATCACGAGATGTCCCCCTCCCCCCCTTAGGGTTGTATGCCCATTGTGTGGGTCCAGTTGGTCCTTATTTTTCCGTGTATTGGTGCAATCGAATGACAATCACAACGAGATGCTGCCCCATTACCTGAATTATGTTCTACTTAGTCTCATCTACTCCGTGTGTTGGTGTATTTACATGACAATAATCAAGACATTCCCCCCCCCCCTCCTTTTTATGCTAGCGGCGCGTGTGCACGTGCTGTACTGATTATTATTTGATCTGTGCATTAGTGTAATCATATGGAATCAACACGAGATGCTTCCCGTGACCCCGGACAATGTAGCACTCCGGCCTGTAGCCCCCGCCCATTCCCTGGGCTGGCCGGCCGGCTATGGGTTTGCCACTTCCCTGCAATGTCCGTAGGCGTTGAGGAACTGCGGCCTTCTCGTGTGGCCGCAGTTTTGCCACCAGCGTTCCTCGGGTGGCGTCACGCCTCGAGGCGACGCAGTCTTGTGTCGTCGCCGCGGACGTGCCGTCTGGCTGCGGTGAGGTCACCGACGGCCTAAGACCTGCAATCCATGGAGCATTGACGCGGCGGATGCGGCTCCCGCCGACTTCCTTCCCCGCCGCCCATGCCCACCATGGGGAGCGGGGTGAGCCAGCGCTTCACCCCATTGGCGGCACTCTGCACCGTGCCGTGGCATTATGGAAGTATGGCTTTTTTGTAAAACACTCGCATGTAAATGCGCTGTAGAGCCTGGAGCGCATCCGCTTGTCTTTTTACTGTTTCCTGTAATGAAACATGACCTTTTATGAATGCGAATATGTTCTGATCAGCATCATGTCTGAT